ATTTGAATACATATTATAGGGTTCATTTCCCTAACATCAACTTATCTGACCTTTGCTGCTTGACTCAGACATGTACTAGTTATTGCAAAGATGTTTTAATCTTTCTTTTGCTATTCAACTCTAATCCCTTTTTTGGTAGAAAAACTACTGAACTTAGAGTCAGAAGATGTAGACTTGTTCTGATTCTTCTGCTTACTACTATGTAAGGTTATTTAATTCCTATGGACTTCAAATGTCTAGTCTGTATGAGAAGTAAAAAAGGCTAATATCTCTTTTAAGTTTCTATGATTCTAGTTGCTGAAATAGCCTAGTCTATACTTGAAGGTAGTTTAGAATTGTGAGAAAAGGTTTAGTATCTGGAGTTAAACTGTATTTTTGTTTTAACATAACTTGTATTAATTGTTATTATTTTATGGTTAGAACCATTATTTTTATTTATTTAGTTTTTGTCTGGTGGTTGTGGGTCTTGACCTCTGGGCCTGGGTGCTATCCCTCAGGTCTTTAGCTCCAGGCTAGTGTTCTGCCACTTGAGCCAAAGCACCATTTCCAGTTTTCTGGTGGTTAATTGGAGATAAGAGTGTCACAGATGTTCCTTCCCAGGCTTTGCACCACAATCCTCAGATCTTAGCCTCCTGAGTAGTTAGGATTATAGACATGAGCTACCTGCACCTGTTAGAACCATTTTTTTTTGGGGGGGGGTGTCCTGTCGTGGGCTTGAACTCTGGGCCTGGGTGCTGTCCCTCAGTTCTTCAGCTCAAGGCTAGCGCTCTACCACTTCAGCCATAGCGCCACTTCTGGCTTTTTTCTTTTTCTTTTTCTTTTTTTTTCTGCTTATGTGGTGCTGAGGAATCCAACCCAGGGCTTCATGCATGCAAGGCAAGCACTCTACCACTGAGCCACCTTCCCAGCCCTGTGAGAACTATTTTTAACTGTCGTTTTTTTTTTTTTTCTTTTCTCCAGTCACTGGGCTTGAATTTAGCCAAAGTACTGTTCCTGAGCTCTTTTGTTCAAGGCTAGCTAGTGCTCTACTACTTTAAGCCACAGCTCCACTTTCAGTTTTCTGGTGGTTAATTGGAGATAAGACTTGTCCTACAGACTTTTCTGCCTGGGCTGGCTTTGAACTTTTTTTTTTTTAATCTGTCATGGGGCTTGAACTCGGCTTGGGCGCTGTCCGTGTGCTCTTCAGCTCAAGGCAAGTGCTCTACCACTTGAACCACAGAGCCACTTCCGATTTTCAAGTGGTTTATTGGAGATAAGAGTCTCATGGACTTCTCTTCCCCCAGCTGGCTTTGAACCATGATCCTCAGATCTCAGCCTCCTGAGTAGCTAGGATTACAGGCAAGAGCCACCAGTGCCCGGCTGGCTTTGTACTTTGATCTTCAGATGTCAGCTTCCTGAGTAGCTAGGATTACATGCATGAACCACTGGCACATGGCTTTAGCTTCCGTTTTCTCATCTGTAAAATGAGTTTACAATACTGGGTGGAGTTTTGTTCATTTTAATGTGAGTTAGAGTCTCACTTCAAATTCCAATTTTCCTGTCTCAACCTCTTGACTGCTGAGATTATTCGTGTGCAATACCAAACCAAGCTGTGCATGGATGAGTTCTTAGAATACATTCTATACATATTAAGGATTATATAATTTTTCTATAATTGGCACATATTTTCACAAAAGATCATAGAAGACATAGTACTTTACTATGGGCTACTGGGACAAAGTACAGTGTTATAGTTATGAGTTAGAAATGTAGCAGAAAGCCGGGCCCTGGTGGCTCACGCCTATAATCCTAGCTACTCAGGAGGCTGAGATCTGAGGATCACGGTTCAAAGCCAGCCCGGGCAGGAAAGACTGTGAGACTCCTATCTCCAATAAACCACCAGAAAACGGGAAGTGGCGCTGTAGCTCAAGTGGTAGAGCTCTCGCCTTGAGCTGAAGAGCTGAAGGACAGCACCCAGGCCCAGAGTTCAAGCCCCATGACAGACAAAAAAAAAAAAAAAAAGAAATGTAGCAGAAATCAATGAGGGAATATATTAAAAAGTTAGTGATATATTATTAAACACTGTCTCATATTAGAAGAATGGTATCTGCATTTGCTTTATATTCTTTTTTTTTTTCTGGTTCTAGTGCTTGAACTCATGGCCTGGGTGCTGCCCTGAGCTTCCTTTGCTCAAGGCTAGCACTCTACCACAGCTTTACTTGCAGCTTTTTTGGTAGTTTATTTGAGATAAGAAAATCTTGGACTTTGCTGCCTGGGCTGGCTTTGAACCACAATCCTCAGATTTCAGCCCCCTAGTAGCTAATAATACAGGCATAAGCCACTGGTGTCTGACTGCTTTATATTTATTATAGTGGGTGGATTGGGCATTTTAGAAAGGAAATTAAATATATAGCTTCAATTATCTGTAATATTGTAAGAAAGCCAATAGCTATAAATTCTCAGATAACTTTTTCCTTCCACTCAACCCTTTTAAGATGAGTAGTAGTAGCCAGATTCACCTTTTCCTACCTGGGCCCTGAAATGATGAGAATGGTCTACATAATCACTGTAACAGCCCATTTCTTCTGGAAAATTAAGAACGGATTGTTCTTCTGTCAGTAGCAGCTTCCTTTTTGAAACCAGGACCTACTGAGAATAGAAGGAAAGGCCTTGTCTGAATCTTCAGTAGCTTCTGGGGAAGTAGATTCTGCTTGGCTGCCAGAGAAGTAGGATGGCAATATTTGATTCACTATCCTAAAGTGGATGAGGAATGATTTTATAGATTTTTAGAAACTGCAAATTTATTTCATTTCTAGAAGTTGTTTCATGTATTCATTGGAAGGGATATGCTCTAAATCTCTAGTCAGCCATAGTTGGGAAATTTTATTTCTCTAATCTGCCCAAGAATATTCTAGGGAAGAGCTACAGTGTCCTATTGCCAGATTGGTTATTCAGATTTAGGTCTTAGTCAGAGGCAATATCCGGCTTTGGAACTGGATAGATAAATATGTAATCGATCAAATTGCTTAACCTTTTATTTTATAGTGTATTTTATTGCTAGAAAGGAAAATATCTTTTTTAGAGAATTGTTGAGATTAGATAAAATTGTACTTAAAGCTCTTAGCATATTATCTATGAATTGTTAACAGTAGATGCTCAGTTGATTTTTACTTAGATTATACTATGTTACAAATTGAGATATGGAGCCTGGTGCCATTGGCTCATACCTAGCTACTCAGGAGGATGAGATATGAGGATCATGTTAAAAGCCAGCCTGGGCAGAAAAGTCCATGAGACTTAATCTCCAATAAATCACCAGAAAACCGGATGTGGTACTGTGGTTCAAGTGGTAAAGCACTCACCTTGAAGAGCTAAGGGACAGTGGCCAGACCCAGAGTTCAAGCCCCACGACCCACCAAAAACAGGAAAAATAGAGATATGGATAAAAAAAAATTCTTAAACTCTGGAAAACTCAGTCAGGCAAAGGAAAAAGGTTACTAAGTATGAATTCAGAAATGTCCTTTTTTCTATTTCTTATGCATTCTCGGGAAAGGTATCTTCTAGTTGGAGAAGACCATTCCTCTCCAAGGCTAAGGGAGTGTCTGATGAGGTAGACTCACTGTGGACCACTATCACTGCTTACTAGGGTAAGCAAGAGCTTATTCGAAGATAGAAAAAGTGAGCTGTGAGGCTTACTTCTTAGTAAGCAAGAACCGGATTATTAGCAGTTAGTAGGCAGGAGGGATGCCCAGTGGGAGTGAAAGAAGTTGTCAGGTGACTGAGGAGGTCACAGAGTTTGTTTAAACTGAGTGTCCAGGTAGACAAGCTCTTGTTTACATTTTTTTCTCTTGTAGTCTTTTGGCTAATCCCTTAACCTTGCTTTTCTGGTTGCTTCTCTCCCCTCCTCCCACCCTACCCCCCTTTCAGGAACAGGATTGACATCAGTATTAGCCTAAAGAAGTCATTCTATTTAGGGAGCTAGGGCAAAGGGCCAGTGATTAGGCCCTTATCAGCAGGGCTTGTTTCTTGGTGAGGAGCAGGACAGGAGCATGTATCCTGACATCCACAGAGACTCTGCTTTTCTATCCCCTGTTTGGGTCAGAATTGTGAAGAGGCGATAGATAGGTTGGGCCTTTTGAATGGAAAAAGCCGTTCATTGTGTTTCTTCAACATTCCAGTGTCTGGTACAATTAGCCAAGACTCGGAAAACAAGTTGGACAAACAAGCAGTCTTCCACTGAAGGATAAAGGGATTTCGGACACAGCTAAGTGTACTGACTGTAAAGACAAAATGGGAGGGTCTGGGAAAGGGAAGGAGGTTTTGAGATGTCATTTCTGACTGATAAGGAGAAAGAATGGAGCAGCAAGCAAACAGTATTTCTGACGCTGATGAAATCTGCTGAATTAATCTGTGTGTGAGGCTGGCTGGGGCTGGGCTGCTTTGTAGAGTAGATAGAACCTTTGGAGAGAAATTGTGACTCTTTGGGAAACTGTACATGTGGGGAATCTAGGAATGTCTTGTCAGTGGACAGCATGGGAACTCACTTCCTAGTAGTTTCTGCCATCACCAGACCTCAGTTGGCTAACACTTTAGATGTACATCTGCCTGAGAAGAGGCAAGCCTGAGGAACAGGTTGTTGGGCAATGGATGCACTGTTTCTTGACTTGGCAGTAAAGCTTTTTAGTTCACCAGCTTTTTTACAACTATTTAAGATTGACCAGTTTACAAGTGCCTGTTCTACAAATGGAGAATAACCCCCAAACCAGCGTCTGTCTGCCCAGAACCTTGACTGGAGTTTTGCATGTGAAGCTCCCATCTCTGCTGATCTGGAAGGTTAAGTTGCTGCCATTTTTGAATGGTGTGCTCTCTGCCTGAAGACCTGTACCTAATTTTTGAAAGTGCTCGAGGGAGGAGCTTGCTCTCTGACCTCAAGGGAAAGAGATCAGTAGGAAGTTGTGGGTGGAGCCACTTCTCTATTCTGCTCTCTGTTCTTCGCTCACGGCCCTTCGCCGTGTCTCTGATCAACTTATAGACTCTTTGAGAAGCTGCAGAGTTTCAGCCACTGTCTAGAGGCTCTTTGGGACCCCCTTCCTTTTAGGTGGGGCCAGCAGACTCCGGGAGCCATGTGGCCCTGTTACAAAGATGAACAGGAATTCAACGCTCACCTGGTTTGCCGCATGTGCTGCATGGGTTAGTATGTGAAGGTTTTCCCTTGTCTGGGCCTGAGAAGCCTAAATAGCCCTTGCTTTGTTTTGTTTTTGACTCATAGGAATGTACAGCCTTTGAAGCCCCGCAGGCATTACAACATGTGAGCTTGTTAAAATGTGGTGTGGAATGGACCAGGGTTCCTCACTTCCTGGGGAACTTCTTTCTCATGTAGTGACTGCCAGTTAAGAGCCCAAGCTTTGGGTGTGGGAGTTATTTTTATAGAAACTGAATTCATGCTCATGCTTCTGCTTGTGTCAGGAAGCTACTTTTAAGTTATGTTGTATAGTGTTGAAAGTTAGAATGTATTTTTAGCAGAAGTTGGTTGGTTAGCTAGAGTCTCTGAGCAGGCTGGGTTGGGTGCTTGGGGTGGAAGGGAGGAGTCATGGCCTAGGTTTCCTCTTTGGGGCCTGTTGCTAATTTTTGTTTGTTTGTTTGTTTGTTTTTCTTCTGTCAGTTGTGGTGAAAAGAAAAAAGATTTGAAGACAGTCTTAAGACAGGCACCTACTGAAGAGTTAGAGGTTTGGGGAAGAGTCCTTAAATCTTCCTTGATAGGAGAGGAAGATTCATTTAAATAATGTTCTGCAACATTGAGCAAATAATTTAAATCTTTTTGGCAATAGATTTTCTGGTTGGTAAATTGTAGTATACTGCCTAGGCTGTACACGTTCATTGGTTCTGGCTTGAGGCATCAATTCATCCATCTTCTCAAAGAAGCAAAAAATAATAGAAATGTGTGTTTTCACAAAACTTATAAAACATCATAAAACTTCATAAAACTTATCATAATCGCTTAAACAATTGTTATTTACCTAAAATTGGCCTTCCTACTTAAAAATAATGTAAAATAGCCTTTATTGTAGGAAAACATTGTTATTAGATGGTAGTTTTTAGATATCCTTAGCAAAATAAAAATGGATAACATTCAACTTCTAATCTTCTGTTTTGGTATGTCTATTGGTCTGTGACATCTAAGTTTGGGAACCAGTGGATTAATAATTCAGTATCTTTTGACTTCATACTTTGGAGTCGAAGTTTTAGACTTTGGAGAACAAAATTTTGACTCAGATTAGAGAGATCTCTCCAAGCATAGGAATTGCTGGTGGTTTGATGGTCAGAAGAAATCTAGAGAAGAGGAGCCAAGCTCTATTTCTGATGTTGCCTAGGTACTTGGTGCTGCCAAATACTGAAGTGTTTTGTTCTGGACACAAGGAAGGGTGGTTTTAGTCTGGTGTGTTAGCTGTCGTGCCTAGCTTTTTATTTCCTATATCATTGTAATTTCCTCTCTGGGACCAGAAAGATCATCTGCATCTGAAAGTGTTTAGAGATAAACTGTGGAACCAAAGGGCTCCTTTTTTGTAATCTCTGTGAAGTATAGGATGCTTGTTTGTTTAATTAATTAACTAATTAATTAATCAGGTCTGGATTCTGGGGCTTGAATTTAGGGCCTGGGTGTTGTCCCTGAGCTTCCACAATGGCATTTTTGGCTTTTTCTGTGTAGTTTATTAGAGATAAGAGTCTCACAGACTTTTTTGCCTGGGCTGGCTTTGAACTGTGATCCTGAAATCTCAGTCTCCTGAGTAGCTAGGATCGTAGATGTGAGTGAGCTACCAGCCCAGATTGAAGTTTGTTTGTTTGTTTGTTTGTTTATTTTGGGTCCAGTTGTGGGCCTGAACTCTGGGCCTGGGCGCTGTCCCCCAGCTCTTCAGCTCAAGGCTAGTGCTCTACCACCTGAGCCACAACGCCACTTCTGGCTTTTTTTTTTTTCTTTCTGCTTATGTGGCGCTGAGGAATCGGACCCAGGGCCTCATGCATGCAAGGCAAGTGCTCTACCACTGAGCCACCTTCCCAGCCCAAGTTTATTTATTTTTAATTAATTATTTTGGTGCTTGACTTGGGCTTGAATTCAGGGCCTGAGTACTATTCCTTAGTTTCTCCCTCAAGGTGGAGGATGTAGCACTTGAACCACAGCTTCACTCCTATCATTTTTGGTGGTTAATTGAAGATAAGAGTCTCTTACCTTTTTTTTACTAGGGCTAGCTTCCAACCTTAGATCTCAGCCTCCTGAGTAGATAAGATTACAGACATAAGCCACCAGCATCTGTAGAATTTCAGAATTTGTTCTTTAATTTTTTTTAAATTGCAAAAGCGATATACAGAGGGATTACAGTTACATAGGTCAGATAATGGGTACATTTCTGTTTGAACAGTTGTCACCTCTTCCTTTGTTTTCTTCCACTTTTTTCCCTCCTGAACCCCCTCCCACCCCAGCATTTTTATTGCAAGTTTCAAGGCAAAAATCTTATCCTTCCTATCCCATTTAACCTTAAAAAGACCTTGTAGCCAGATAGTTAAGGAGATGAATAGACTCTGTCTGTTGGGGTCTACAGACAGTTCTAGTTAATAGCTATACAAACTGGGCAAATGGCTTAACCTTTTTGTGTCTTGTTATACTCATTTGTTAAAAGGAGACTGAATTGAGACCTAACTCATGGAGTCATCATGCGGAGTATATGCTATTAAGGCATTTAGCTCAGTGCCTCCCACATAATAAGTTCATAAATAGTTGTAGTAACATGTGAAGTATAATAAAAATCCAATGCTAGTCATCATCAATTCTTGGACAAAATCTGATAGACCGATATATACCTGGTTTGCTGGAGTGAGGACTCTTTTGGACATTATTTACTTTTTTGATCGGGGTATTTCCATGACCATGAGCCTGACCCAACTCAGCTAGCCACAGGCCTGTGTCTTTTTTTCTAGGAAGTAAGGATAGCTGTAGAGTAGTTAGGCTTTCTTCAGAGATAAAGCTGTTACTCTTTTTTTTTTGGCCAGTCCTGGGGCTTGAACTCAGGGCCTGAGCACTGTCCCTGAGCTTCTTTTGCTCAAAGCTAGCCCACTACCACTTGAGCTACAGTGATGCCTCCGGCCTTTTCTGTTTATGTGGTAGTGAGGAATTGAACCCAGGACTTTGTGCATGCTAGGCAAGCACTCTACCACTAAGCCACATTCCCAGCCCCAAAGCTGTTAGCTCCTAATTTGCTTGAAATTGTGATTTTTTTTTTAAGAAAAGCTCCTCAGGTAATTTTGATATGGCTAGTTTACAGAGTGGTATTTAGCAGCCTTTGGCTAGTCCAATCTCTTATAAATGATACAGCAGGCTCAAGGAGGGAGAGAAAAGTATCATATAAAAGTTTAGAACTTCCAGGCGCTGGTGGCTCATGCTTGTAATCCTACTTACTTAGGTGGCTGAGATCTGAGGATCACAGTTCAAAGCCAGCCCAACAAGGAAAGTCTCAGACTCTTACCTCCAATTAATCACCAGAAAATCAGAAGTGGCACTGTGGCTAGAGCACAGGAATAGCTTCCAGGCCCAAAGTTCAACGACCCTCCCCCCCACCCCCATCCCCCCAAAAAAAGTTTAAAAAAATGGTTAAGAAGGCTAGAAACTGGGAAATCCAAGTTACAGATTTGTTTTGACCTTGTTTGACCTTGCTTCAGTTTTTTATAATCTTTTACCTTAATTTTTTATTATTTATTTTTGGGTCCGGACATGCCTGAACTCTTGGCCTGGGCGCTGTCCCTCAGCTCTTCAGCTCAAGGCTAGTGCTCTACCACTTGAGCCACAGCACCACTTTCAGTTTTTTTTCTTTTTGCTTGTGTGGTGCTGGAGAATCGAACCCAGGGCCTCATGCATGCAAGGCAAGCTCTCTACCACTGAGCCACCTTCTCAGCCCAACCTTAATTTTTTAAAGATACATTTTAAGCACATTTTTTGTTGTTGTTTGGTACTTGTACTGAGGCCTGAACTCAGGGGTTTTGCTTAGCTTTCTCCCTCCCCACCCCCCAGGCTGGTATTCTACCTTTTGAGCCACCCCTCCACTTCTGGCTTTTTTGCTGTTTGAGTTAGATTAGAGTATTTGTCTTGCCTGAGGTGGCTTTGAATCATGATCCTTTGTTGTTAGCTTTCTGAATGGCCAGGATTATAGGTGTGTGCTAGCAGTGATGACTCAAATTTGAAGTTTGTTAAAACTCTTGACACTATTTATTTTGCTTTTCTGAATGTAATATATCAATGAATTTTCAAGAAAATATTGCGCTTTCCTTCTTCTGTTCTCTATGAATGTTCCTCTATATCTATGCTTCTCTTCTTTTGCGACATTGCATACTTTTGGTTTGTTCATCCTTTCCCTTATTTCTGACTCCCTTCATCCCTCCCTCCCTTTCTCTGTTCTCTCTTTCCTTCCCCTCAGTTTGGTCTTGCCTTGCCAGTACTGAACTAAGCATTAGCTCTATAATCCTTTTTCTTCTCTTTTCCTTTCCATTCTCCTTCCCTGTCTCTTCTCCTTCCCTTCCAGTCTACTTCCCTCCTTCTCTCTCTCCTTTCCTTTGCTTGGATTTGAACTTAGGGCCTCAAAATTACTAGGCATCCACCACTTGAGCCATTCTACCACTTGGTTTACTTTTTCATATAGTGTTTTGCTTTTTTGTCTAGTGCCTTGTCTCTTACCCAACGCCTCCCAAGTAGCTGGTATTAGGGAGTGTATACTACCAGATCGTTTCCCCTATGTTTCCTTACTTTTTTTGGGGGGGGGTCCGGTCGTGGGGCCTGAACTCTGGGCCTGGGTGCTGTTCCTCAGCTTTTCAGCTCAAGGCTAGCGCTCTACCACTGGAGCCACAGTGCCACTTCTGGCTTTTTTCTTTTTGCTTTTGTGGTGCTGAGGAATTGAACCCAGGGCCTCAGGCATGCAAGGCAAGCGCTCTACCACTGAGCCACCTTCCCAGCCCTCCTGATTCCTTATTGTTAGATTTTTTTTTTTTTTTTGGGTCCGGTCGTGGGGCCTGAACTCTGGGCCTGGGCGCTGTCCCTCAGCTTTTCAGC